GGGGTGTTGTGGGGTTCTCCGGGGTGTCACCGTGACGCTATGGGCACACCAAGGGGTGTTACAGGGTCCTCTGGGGTGTCAGTGTGACACTGTGGGCACACCAAGGGGTGTTGCGGGGTTCTCTGGGGTGTCACCGTGACGCTGTGGTTGAGTGCGGGGGTGTTGTGGGGTCCTCTGGGGTGTCACCGTGACGCTATGGCCACACCAAAGGGTGTTGCGGGGTCCTCCGACGTGTCATTGTGATGCTATGAGTGTGCCAAGGGCTGTTGTAGGGTCCTTTGGGGTGTCACCGCGATGCTACAGCTCTGCTGAAGGGTGTTGCGGGGTTCTTCGGGATGTCACCATGACACTATGGTTGTGCCAAAGGGTGTTGCACGGTTTTCTGAGCTGTCACTGTAACGCTATGGCCGCACCAAGGGGTGTTGTGGGGTCCTCCGGGGTGTCACCGCAACTCTACAGCTGCTGTAAGAGATTGTCTAGAGCGTCCCTGTGATGCTATGGCCATGTTTGGGAGTGTTGTGGGCTCTTCTGGGGTGTCACCATGACACTATGGTTGTGTGGGGGGGTGTTGTGGAGTCCTCCAGGGTGTCATGGTGATGCTATAGTTGGGCCAAGGGGTGTTGCGGGGTTCTCTGGGGTGTCACCGCAATGTTATGGTTATGTGTGAGAGTGTTGTGGGGTCCTCCAGGGCGTCACCGTGACACTATGGTTGTGTTTGGGAGGTGTTGCAGATTCTCCGGGGTGTCACCGCGACGCTGTGGTTGTGTCAAGGGGTGTTGTGGGGTCCTCCAGGGCGGCGCTGTGATGCTGTGGTTGTTTGTGGGGGTGTTGTGGGGTCCTCTGGGGTGTCACCGTGACCTTACAGCCACACCAAGAGGTTGCCTAGGGTGTCCTCGTGACTCTATGGCCACGTTTGGGAGCTTTTCGGGGTCCTCTAGGGTGTCACCGTGACCCTACGGTTGTGCTAAGGGGTGTCACTGGGTCCTCCGGGGTGTCACCACAGCACTATGGTTGTGTGCGGAGGTGTTGCAAGGTCCTCCGGGGCGTCACTGTGGTACTGTGGTTGTATGGGGGGTGTTGCAGGGTCCTCCGGGGTGTCACCGCGACACCATGGCTGTGTGTGCGCGGGTGTTGCAGAGTCCTCCCGGGCGACACCGTGACCTTCCGACCTCCCGTGGGGGTGTCTCGGGGTCCTCCACAGTGTCCCCACGTCCCTATGGCTGCGTGTGGGGGCGTCGCGTCCCCTCTGCAGCCCTGGGGACCTTGGGGACCCCCCTGGGTCTCTTCATCCCCTCAACCTTGGGGTCCTCCAGGTCCTTCCTCCCTGTCCCCCGACCCCACGTCCCTATGGCCGCGTGTGGGGGCGTCGCGTCCCCTCTGCAGCCCTGGGGACCTTGGGGACCCCCCTGGGTCTCTTCATCCCCTCAACCTTGGGGTCCTCCAGGTCCTTCCTCCCTGTCCCCCGATGTCCCCACGGCCGTGGGGACCTTCAAGGTCCTCCTTGTCCCCCATGTGTCCCCTTGTGCCCTGTCCCGATGTCCCTACAAATGTCAGTATCTCCTCATGACCCCCATGTCCCTTGCCTCTGATGTCCCCAAGCCTTGGGGACCTCCCCATGTCCCCTCATCCCTCCCCATCTCCAAACCTTGAAGTTCTTCAAGACGTTCTTTGTTGTTCTTTGGGGACCTCCCCATGTCCCTTCAACCACTCCATGTCCCTTCATCCCTCCCCATCTCCAAACCTTGAGGTTCTTCAAGACCTTCCTCATTCTCCTTTGGGGACTTCCCCATGTCCCTTCAACCCCTTCATGTCCCCTCATCCTTCCGTGTCTCCAAACCTTGAGGTCCTTCAAGACCTTCCTCATCCTCCTTGTCCTTTGGGGACCTCCCATGTCCCCTCAACTCCTCCATGTCCCCTCATCCTTCTTATCTCCAAACCTTGAGGTCTTTCAGGACCCTCCATGTCCCTCCCTGTTCCTCGGCCGCCTCCCCATGTCCCCTCCTCATCACACGCCCCCTGATCCTTCCTCATCTCCCAACCTCGAGGTCCCTCAAGACCCTCCCTGTCCCCTGGGGGCCTCCCCTGTCCCCCGCTGTCCCCGCAGGTGGCCAAGGTGCGGCCGCACGACCGCGACGCGCGCCTCAAGCTGCAGGAGTGCAGCCGCATCGTGAAGCAGAAGGCCTTCGAGCGCGCCATCGCCAGCGACCCGCACAAGCGCTCCGTCGTCGACTCGCTCGACATCGAGAGCATGAGTGAGAGCCGGGGCCTGGGAGGGTTTTGGGAGGTCCTTGGAGGTCTTGGGGGATCCTTGGAGGTCCTAGGAGGTCGCTATGGGTTCTGGGAGGTCTTTGGGAGGTCCTTGGAGGTCCTAAGAGGTTTCTACAGGTCCTGGGAGGTCTTTGGGAGGTTCCTGGAGGTCCTGGGAGGTTCCTGGAGGTCCTGGGAGTTTCCTGTGGGTCCTAGGAGGTCCCTGTGGGTCCTGGAGGTCTTCGGGAGGTCCTTGGAGGTCCTAAGAGGTTTCTACAGGTCCTGGGAGGTCTTTGGGAGGGTCCTTGGAGGTCCTAGGAGGTTTCTACAGGTCCTGGGAGATCTTTGAGAGGTTTCTGGAGGTCCTAGGAGGTTCCTGTGGGTCCTAGGAGGTCCTTATGGGTTCTGGGAGGTCTTTGGGAGGGTCCTTGGAGGTCTTAGGAGGTCCCTATGGGTCCTGGGAGGTCTTTGGGAGGTCCTTGGAGGTTCTAAGAGATTTCTACAGGTCCTGGGAGGTCTTTGGGAGGTTCCCGGAGGTCCTAGGAGGTTCCTGTCGGTCCTAGGAGGTCCCTATGGGTTCTGGGAGGTCTTTGGGAGGGTCTTTGGAGGTCCTAGGAGGTTCCTGTGGGTCCTAGGAGGTGCCTATGGGTCCTGGGAGGTCTTTGGGAGGGTCCTTGGAGGTCCTAGGAGGTCCCTGTGGGTCCTGGGAGGTCTTTGGGGGGTCCTTGGAGGTCCTAAGAGGTTTCTACAGGTCCTGGGAGATCTTTGGGAGGTTCCTGGAGGTCCTAGGAGGTTCCTGTGGACCCTAGGAAGTCTCTATGGGTCCTGGAGGTCTTTGTGGGTCCTAGGAGGTCCCTATGGGTCCTGGAAGGTCTTTGGGAGGTCCCTATGGGTCCTAAAAAGTCCCTATGGGTCCTGGGAGGCCTTTGAGAGGTTCCTGAAGGTCCTAGGAGGTTTCTGTGAGTCTTAGAATGTCCCTATGGGTCCTAGGAGATCTTTGGGAGGTCCTTGTGAGTCCTAGGAGGTCCCTATGGGTCCTGGGAGGTCCTGGGAGATGCTTGAAGGTTCTAGGAGGTTTTTATGGATCTGGGAGTTATTTTTTGGGGGGGTTGAAGGTCCTAGGAGGTTCCCACAGGTTCTGGGAAGGCTTTGGGGGGTCCTTGGAGGTCCTAGGAGGTTCCTGTGGGTCCTGGGAGATCTTTGAAGCAGTCTTGGAGAACCTAGCAGATGGTTATGGGCCCTAGGAGATCCTAGGAGCATCTTTGGAGACCCTGGGAGGTGTTTGAGAGGTTCCTGCAGGTCCTATGAGGTCTCTATGGGTCCTGGGAGGTTCCTGTGGGTTCTGGAAGGTTTTAGGAGCATCTTTGGAAGTTTTACATGGTCCCTATGGGTCCTGGGATGTTTTTGGAGCAGCTTTTGAGGTCCTAGAAGGTCTCTGTGGGTTGTGGGAGGTCTTTGGGAGGTTTCTGGAGGCTTTAGAAGGTTCCTATGGGTCCTTGGAGATCTTTAGGGGGTGCTTGGAGGTTCCAGGAGGTTCCTATGGATCCTGGGAGGTCTTTGGAGCAGCCCCGGAGATTTTAGGAGGTGGTTATGGGTCCTAGGAGGTCTTAGGGGTATCTTTGCAGGCTCTGGGAGGTCTTTGCGAGGTTCCTGGAGGTTCTAGGAGGTTCCTGTGGGTTCTGGGAGGTGTTTGGGGGGTCTTTGGACATTCCAGGAAGTTCCTATGGATCCTAGGAGGTCTTAAGGACATTTTGGGAGATCCTAGGAGGTCCCTATGGGTCCTGGGAGGTTTCTCGGGGGTCTTGGAGGTCCTAGGGGGTTCCTACAGGTTCTGAGAGGTCTTTGGAGCTCTGGAGATGTTCATGAGGCCTTGGAGCTCTTGTCCCCATGAAGGTCTTTGTGTCCCCAAGGAGGTCTCTGGGGGTCAGAGAGCTCCCCAGGAGGCTCCTGGGGTCCCCAGCAGAGCCTCAAGATTCCAGGGACCTTCATGAGGCCCTGGAGCTGTTGTCCTCCACGAAGGTCCTGGTGTCCCCACGAGGGACGAGACCTGCCCGCGTTGCTCCCTTGAGAGGGGTTGTCTTGGGGTGGGTTGTCCTGTCACGTTGTCTCGGCCACCGTGTCCCTGTCCCCCGGGCAGCCATCGAGGACGAGTACAGCGGCCCCAAGCTGGAGGACGGCCGGGTGACGCTGGCCTTCATGAAGGACCTCATGCAGTGGTACAAGGAGCAGAAGAAGCTACACCGTAAATGCGCCTACCAGGTACCACCAG